GGTCTCACCAGGGAGAACATGTAGGACTCTTTATATTATGAGATGGTCATGCAAACATTGCAACTTCACGACATCAAAACGTTTACAGCTCATAAAGCATTATAGATTGAATCATCTACACAGCGGTCAAGGCCGGTCAATACCATGCTTGTACTCAGATTGTCCTTGTTCATTTAAAAGTTGGAGTGCTCTTCACACACATTTGTCTAGATACCGTACACAAACTGAGCAATTAGGGCAAATTCTTTCATTTTCATGTCTTGTATGTAACTTTTTCTCGGACTGGATGGGATTAAGCTGACCCCAAAAGTACAAGCTTTGAAGGTGAACCTGCTGCCTTAAAGACATGGAAAATGTGTTCTTCATATGTACCTTCCACTGTCCATGTTGCAATTGCTCAGTTTCAGGGAGCTGTATCAATCTCTGTCTCCCCCCTCTGCCATTTTTTTTCTTTCTCCGTATAAACATTTCTCCCTCTTTCTCTCTCTCACACGGATTACAGTTGTTGCCGTCTATTCATATTCTGTTATATGTTTTTTCCCCCTCCTTAGGTAAAGAAACGTTTGTATTGAATGTTTAAAAAGCACCACTCCAAATCTATGATGGAGTAGATTTTGTATTTTTTGATAAGTTAATGTTAATATAATGTTAATGTTGCATGCAGTTATTATAATGTTAATGTTGTCGGTTAATAGTGATTGAATTGTTGACAAAATAAAGTTGAATTGTATTGTATTTTAGTTGTGTGATTTGTGCTCAATGTATATTAAATGCATAGATTACATTTATTAGGTAACATTTTTCAAAAGTAAATGAGTAACAATTACGTAATTAAAGTGAGTAATATAACTTCAAACAAATGAGTAATTCAACATTTTAAACAGAAAAAATATGATAAAATCTACTTATTTACTTTATAACAGTAACTATTACAGATATATAATATTTACTTAATAATTTGATAACAGTGATGTTCCTGTCCATGAAGAAAATAATTAGACTTTACTTAATTAGTTCAAATAAATATAACGTGTAACTTAAACATTATTAAGTAAGATTTACTTAATATTTTCACAAATGTTACGTCTGGTGATAAGTACATTTTACTTGATACTGGAAAGTAAGTTCTACTTGATATTACAGCAGTAAAATATACTTAAAAAAAGTAAGTGCAAATACTTGCTAAGATTTAATCAAGTAAATCCTACAAGTCGTTTCTTTCAGTGTATATGATATGGGAACCCTCAGTGAGATTTTAAGATGTAATAATGAATATGGCTGATTTCTATCACTGTAACGAAATGATGCATACCTGTAATGGTCACTAGTGTAAACAGGTTACATGGAATGTGTCTTGTACTGTTGGAAACAAAGGGTCCCTGGATAGCTGACCAGTTATTTGATTGCACAGGATGTTGTGTGTGTGTGTGTGTGTGTGTGTGGCCTCTATTCCTGACAACAAATGAACACACACTCTTTCATGTTGGGAATTGACACTGACATCATTGATTTCCCAATTCTGTAACTATAAATCGGCTGCACCTGCTTGTATTGTTGACACTGACGGTTAAAACAGAACGTGAAGAGATGCTAGTGGACAGACTCTGATCAAATTATCTGTTTTATCTCAAGGCTGCCCCTCCTACAGCGGGAACAATGCGTGTTAAATGTGTTGAACAAGTCAGACATGCTGGTATGTCTGCTTCAAATGTAACTGCATTAAAGAGAAGTTAAACAGTTGTTTTTTTTATATTGGAACTATGTTACCAAGTTGTTGACCAAGGAGTTGTTTCACTTCCTAACAAAAACCAGTCTGCAAACGGTGATAAACAAGTGTATGTTGAAGTACATGGGATGATCTAATGTTTTGTTTTTTTCACTGCTTCCAATTGTTATCGAGACTCATATATGAACTTCACTGGTATTTGTATCGACTATAACGTTGTGGTGCGGTGAGGACTTCTTCTTGGGTGGTTTATTTGAAAACATGATCATGCCATTAAATCAGTAATTAAATAAGTGTTAGCAGTAGCCTTAATCCAGAGGCCTGTACTACGAAGCTGGTTCAACCTAACCTGGATATGTTTGAGTTAGCCGGTTGGCCCAATCCAAAACATACGCGCTCTCGCTAAGCTGTACTACGACGCTGGTTATCAAGTGGATCGCTTAAGCCAGCCGTGTCCTATCTAGTTAGGTGCACGTTCACATGAAAGGGGTGGTATTTGGAGCATTCGACCAATCACAAACATGGACAAGCGTACTGACAGCGCAGCGTCATACTTCCTGAATGAAAAGTGAACTTTAATATTAGTCAAATATGAAGAAGTTAAACTTTAAACATCCATGACTTAAACACTTTATCCAGGATAAAAGCCACATAGCTGCACCTGCAAGGTGAATACAGCTGGTAAAAGAAAAAGCGTTTGAATGCGTACATTAACTAAAATTAATTACATTTGACTCGAGTGTTTCGTCAACTTAATGTGTTGCTTAAAATAATACTTCTGCATACAGTATGTGACACTGAGTGTTGCACGGCCAGATACGGCTCAAGAAGCTGACTCAAATAAGGAAATATATGATACATTATGATGTGATATGATATGAATGATAATGGGACACATCGACGTCTGCACTCACAGTGCCGCGGACTGTACGTAATGTTACTTTGATCCGGTTACTTATGTTGTGGCAGATATTTAAGTAAGCTTTCTTAACGCTAATGTTATAATAGTCAGATTGCTCTGAAGATGGGAGGGGATATTCTATTAATTTTCACGTTCACATAGTCAGTTGATTTTTGCCGGCCGTCTTTCCTGCAACGGCAGTTTTTCTGTATTTCCTCTATCCTGTAATATGACTTGATAGCTTTAAACTCCGCACACGGAGCTCTGATTGGTCAGAGGTTAGCCGCTCAGCATAAGTTACCATGGAGATCTAGCCCGCTAAAAAGAGAACCAGCGTCGTAGGACCGGAAAGCCCGAGTTTTCCCTGAAGTCAGCCGGCTAAGCGAAAATCCGGCTTCGTAGTACAGGCCTCTGGTGTTACACAGTTTACAAATACAACAGTTGGATACATGTACAGCAAAATCCAGGCAGACATCTGATATAAGTACTAAAGCCCCATAACACAGTGGAAGCAATAGGTAGAAGATACACTGGATGAATCTGCCTGTCTGGTCCTCCATTTCAAACTGTTTCAAACAATAACACATCAAAACAGCAGCGGCTTAAAAACATCTGTCTGACGTCTCATGATACCATAAAGCACACTCCCTCAAACTCAACACTTCCCTCCCTTGACTCACAAACGGCTCAGAAATGAAATTCTCTCTCTGTTAATATGATCTTAGGTCAGAGTGTTGATAATAAATTAACTGGAAAAGGTTACTAAGCATGACTGCTGATGGCAAATCTTAATAAGACCACATTTTACCTCATCATTCACATAATATCACATATGGCCGGGTGCGGTAATATCCCATGACAGAGTCCCTCGTATCAAACATCCGGAGGTTTAGGAACATGACTTCATGCAAAGATGTGAAATCATGAGCCACAGGGATGACTTCACATTTGGAAGCATTGCTCGTATTATTGAAAAGGACCTTATCCATGGTTTATTGCACACAGACTGAATCTTCTGAAAGAGTTTCTATAAAACAAAATGTCGGCCTATTAATGTCATCTGCTATAGTTTATGACATTCCTGCATTTTGTATACAAGCAGCCTTTCTGCAATGATAACCATACAAAAGTAATTAATTAATCAATCCAACTGCTATGTCTACTAAAGCTGCAAAATAATCCATATTTGTTTTTCTCATGTATAAAAAAAATCTTACAAGAAAAGCCTGTATTTGATATGCCAATAGTTCAATGAGGTTATACTGGAAGAGGGTGTTGTATCAGTGGAGCAATATGCTGCAAAATGTTTGCTTATCTATGATCATTATGCTCCAATAGCTCTCCTTTTAATGAGGAATTTCTATATTGATATGTCCAAAATAATTTGTCACATTAAAAAAACAAGCAAGCAGTGCAGAAACTAATACTGATAGGGGGGGCTCGATCTATGTATTATGTTCATTTACATTTTGAATGTATTTCCATTGGCCTTCTTCTTCCATTAACTGCTCAGTCACCACAAACCCATCATCTTCTCTCCTTGTCAAAGCAGAGATTAACTGTCAAAATGCACTTTAGACCTTCCCCCAGTGCCCCACTTTATATTTGTTTCACATAGCAACACAACTGATACGCATTGATACACCTGGCCACCATACACAAGGCTCAGCGTCCACAAATGCTGAGCAAAAATGATTCATTTGGTCTCTTTTCAGTGTTAATACCGAAGATTTGATCAGCCAGATAAAAGCTTATCTTAAAAAAATAGAACGTGCAGAGCTGCAGGAACAGAAAAGGGTGGAGGGAAAATCCTGAGTGACACCCAAACACATCTTGGCCAATATCTTTCAGTAAGGCTCTATGCAGTATAATTGAGATATTATCCAGGTAGGCTTAATATGTTTCAGAATGACCTCTACTACCTGCTTATCAGCTTCAATACTTGAAGTAGTAGTACAATATAGTGAATCAATTGATCCTTTAAGTGGTGAATTCAGTTTAGGACATGAAGTACCCAGCATGTAACACTTATTTATCACATCTATAAGCAGCCTGTAATGCAATAAGCATACTCGTAAATTAGACTGCTGTTTGACACATGAGAACGTCTTAACAATGGTACGTGAATTGGACCAAATGGACCAACACATTAATTTGATAATTAAAACACCGTCATGGTCCTTTAAGAAGGGGGTGCCAACATTGCAGAGATGAGCATGTCGTTTAAGCTACAACCAACATAAATGCATATATATTTCAATGAGGTTTTGAATGTACTACGCAGCCCATATAGTTTATGGTAGCCTTTGTTAATTGCCCTGAGCGTGTGCAGACAACACAGTGACATAGTGCATGCCTTATTTCACTACTCACCACATCTTTCCCTGCTCCCCGGCTCTCCTGGTGCTCCATGTTACAGAGTTTTCTCTTGTTTGTATGTTCTGTCCTCTTCATCCCTTACTGACTGACATGTAAATATACTCCTTGTGTGTGTTGGGTGGCTTTGCCCCGGTTGACAGCCCGTGTTGTGTTGTGTGTCCTCTCGATAACGTCAGCCAGTTAGCAGGCTAGCAACGTGTCAGCGCGGCTGCGGTCGACTTCAGTGACACCTCGCTGCCAAGATGAACTTCATCTCTCGATGATGCAGTTTGTTGAGTTATGAGTCCACTCAAGATGAGTTTGTTCCAGCCAGCCAGCCATTCCTGGTCAGTAGCCAGTCCTGCGGCTGAGGCTAGCTAACTAAGAAGCCTAGTTGCACTTTTGGTGCCTAGTTGCACTTTTGGTGCCGAGTGCACATCTGGAAAATCCGTTATGACAAGCTGTCAATCAACCTTGCAGCACCAGCCGCTACTTTATCCTTGAGGACCGTAAAAAGGACAGTTTATGTTCGTTCACAAGGACAGTTTATAATTAGCGGTGTAAAACATATCCATGCTGGGCTGTCGTCTCCGGCAACAGTTTTGTCCAACACAACTTGTTAGTTAGTGAGTTCGTTAGTTAGCAGGGGCTGATGCTAAGCTAGCTTCCTGCTGCGTGACTAGCAGAGCGGCTAGCCCGGCTGCCTGCTAACGTTTACCTGCACAGAGACACCGGGACACCCATGACAGGTCCGTCTACACTCCTAACGGACGGCACTGGAGGATTCCCACCTGGGTTGTGTGCGTTGTATCCGTCTAGACGGTTTATCCGACAGTGAATGTCATTTTCAGATATTGTTCCATCATCAGATAACAAAAAATGCTAAGCTGAGTAGACACCGGGTCGAGCTCTGTGTTGAACTGCAGCCGCGGCACGGTTCAGGTTGTTTCCTGACTCTGACACAGTCAATGCGGTGTCAAGCTAGCTAGAAAGAGATCAACTTCCGTTACAATTTTACCAACATAAAAGCATAAATAATTAAAATATGAAAAAAAACCTGTTGCGTTAGATGTACTTCTAGGTGCCCTATGGAGCGTTGTTGCTACAGTTTATTGCAAAAAAAACTATTTTATTCTTACAAATACATGTAATTGTTATTTTTTACAATTTCCCTGATGCCATGATAACCCAGACTTAAGTGTGATTTGAAATAATGTAAAAGATATAGCAAGATATATTATTTCACACCGACATTTTTAATCTACAGTTTACAGCACATTATATCCATTTATATATCAACATTCTAGTATGGGATTTGGTGTACAAGGTACCTGTTGACAAAGCTTGATCCATGAGTTTTTTTATATAAAATGTACACAAACTCATCACATGTTAGGAATTAGCGTCAAATAAATACACATAGAATCAATTTTAATAAAGTTAATCAGATCTATTTCGTTTAATATTAAATGTCTGCTCGTGTCTTCAGTGTGTGTGTGTGTGTGTGTGTGTGTGTGTGTGTGTGTGTGTGTGTGTGTGTGTGTGTGTGTGTGTGTGTGTGTGTGTGTGTGTGTGTGTGTGTGTGTGTGTGTGTCAAATCAAAATCAAATCAAGTTTTATTTATAAAGCACATTTAAAAGCGATTTTTGGTCGAGCCAAAGTGCTGTACATGTAATAAAAACACATTACTACAATCACAATACAAGACAATAAATTACAACAGATATATATAAAATAAAAATAAAACACAGGGAAAAGTCAGGAGTCGTGCTCCGCTCTAACTAGAAGGCCAGAGAGAAGAAGTGTGTTTTTAGTGTAGATTTTAAAAAACCCTAGGGTCTGGGCCGACCTCACATGGAGGGGCAGAGTGTTCCAGAGCCTAGGGCCAGCTGCTGCGAAGGCTCGGTGCCCTCGGGTTTTAAGCCTGCCTTACTGTGTGTGTGTGTGTGTGTGTGTGTGTGTGTGTGTGTGTGTGTGTGTGTGTGTGTGTGTGTGTGTGTGTGTGTGTGTGTGTGTGTGTGTGTGTGTGTGTGTGTGTGTGTGTGTGTGTGTGTGTGTGTGTGTGTGTGTGTGTTGGGCTCTGCTGCCACCTGCTGAAAGAACATTTAAAACTAGAGAATGCAATTCCTGAAGAAATTGCTAGTGGGAATGCTTTATGCTGAAAAGCTGACGCTGAATTGCTATGCTGAAATGTAATGTGTAAGAAGAAAGTGAAGAATTTAGATTGAAATGATACATGAACACTGGGGGCTTGAATGTTTGATGAGAGAAGAAAAGAAAGTAAAAAGGCTTGGAAAAGCAGCAGAATATTTGAACTGCAAACTTTTGAACTAACTTGATGGCGAATGATCTGTCGCCATGCCAACGGCATTTGATGACATCCCATAATACGCTTAGATGCGTTGATGGCTGCATCGTTACCAAACCTGTGAAGTTTTGGGCCGTTTGGAGCATTTTCACTGAAGTTATGAGAAAACTGTGTTTCATGGTGAGCATTGTCTTCTCTTGATCGCCCTCTCTCTCTTCTCTTGATCACCCTCTCACTCTTCTATCACCCTCTCTCTCTTCTCTTGATTGCCCTCTCTCTCTTCTCTTGATCGCCCTCTCTCTCTTCTCTTGATCACCCTCTCACTCTTCTATCACCCTCTCTCTCTTCTCTTGATCGCCCTCTCTTCTCTTGATCGCCCTCTCTCTCTTCTCTTGATCGCCCTCTTGATCTTCCATGGAAACGCATCCGAGGGATGTGTTTCCATGGAAACGGCATATGATGACACCCCATAACTGACGTAGAGCTGTTGAGGGCAGGACCATTAACCATTATCTGAAGTCTGCTGCTCTGAGCATGTCAGTTGGAGTTATGACATCATCGTGTTCCATGACACAGGTGTTTATATTTGAGCTAACGAGGTGTCCAGAGATCAAAGGTTTCCATTGTTCTGAATGAGAGATAAACCTGTTACATGTGAACGTTTTGTTGAAGAACCGTAACAGATATCGGTGAAATTTCAAAGCGTGAAGCATCTCAAGGACCTTGAGTATCTGAAGTGTGCTTTTTGTGTACTTTTGGGTAAATAATGTGGCCTTTTTGGCAGATTAACTAAAGGTATGCGGCTGCTGCTGTGAGGAAATATCAGCCTGAAATTACAATGGGCTTTAATGGAGACATGTTGAACATTTTTGTCACTTCATGCCCTCAAGAGGCATTTTGTTTAATTATTTTTTGCTTAATTATTTGTCATTTTTCAAGCTACGAGATGTTTTCCTACGTTTGTCATGAAATATTATGTCTCAGGGATGTAGGGTTTGGGAATTATGGCAGTTTAAAAAAAATATATGAAGGCAAATTTCAAGATTTCCTACACTCTAGCTGTGACATCACGCACTCTAGTTAATGTTAAAATCTGAAGAAAGCCTCTTTACCAAGGTCTGAACAATGTTTAATATCTCTAAAAGTAAGAATCAGATTTAAAAGTTGTGTTACACGAATAATGTCAGAAAGATGTGTAACATTTTAAAGTTGGAATGAGGTTTCTGAGTGAAAGTATGAATGAACAGTTAGCAGTTGAAGTCGCATGAAGATTTGTTGAAGTGTGAAGATTTTCTCCATTGACTTCAATGGTTAAAAATGTGATGAATTATGGGATGTATCTCTGGAATTATGAAAGTTATGAATGAGAAAAGTAATAGCCATCGATTCCCGACCGAACTGAACGTTTTGATGTTTGAACGAAGTTTCTGCGATGTTCAATGCGGGAGAAGAAGACCGGCAAAATAACGGACGGAATAATAATAAAGAATTTCGTGCGTCGAAGAACAGATAGTTGGAATGCTGTATCAGCATTCCCACTAAATAAGTGCCTTTAATATGTGTTCAATACATAGGTTCAATACTTATTTCTTAGTGTATTTCAGCCATATTAACCTTCTATATGATTATTTGTAATTTTACGAAGACCTCAGTTGTATTTGTATACAGAATACAATATTGTGTGGACTTCCACATATTTAAAATAAAATGTCATAAATGTATAATAGACTAAAGACTATACTTATGCTGCTTTGTGCTTGAGGGTCTGTATTGTTCAAGAGAAACAAAACAAAAGAAGCGAGATAATTGTTTCAGAAAACAAACAAGACAAATTTTGTTTTTCCCTTTTTATTAAAAAGGTTATTCTTTTTTTTTAACCCGAAAAACACTTTTAAGAAAAGAAACATGCATAAAAATACAGATGGTCTTTGTCGAACAATGACAAAACAGCTTGCATTGATGTTCGCACTCCCTTTAATATGTACATACATGAGATTTAGTTCCTCAAACCACACAGACACTGAATTTGACCTTCCGTTGGGAATTTCACAAAAAATCGCTATACTGTACGTAATTCATTTAAACCTGATTTGACAACATACAAGTTGTTGACTTTGGTTTATAACTTTGCTTCATAAATATCTCATTACAGCACTCTTTTATGTTGTGACTTTGCATTGTTTCCACACCGTTTATAAAACTCTGATTCATGTTACTTTAAAAATTGGTGGGCCATTTGTTTTTGATTGTCATAAAACTGGACATTTTCATCATATCTTTTTTGTTTTTTTAACGACTCAGCTTCAAAGCGAAAACAGATGACATGGCACTTTAATATCCAGGGCTAAAACATCAACAAAAAGCAACCACAAAGGTTATTATTGCACAGTAACCCAAAAAATTGCATATTTCAGTAAAAGTATCAGAGGGCAGTGAAGCCACAGTTCATGCACAAAAAGAAACAGCTAACCTTTTATACAGAGAAATCAAGAAAAATAATAATAATGAGTCAGTGTAAAGCAACCAATTTCATAAAATATTATTTGCACAGTGAGCGTAACAAATCCTCAGAAGTCTTGAAAAACCTAACAAACTTGAATGTATCCCTTGAGGATTGTTTTTTTTGTTGTTAATTGATTGTCGTCTCGAGGGAAATTCAAACAAAGAGATGCACAAATTTAGCAAAAATAAGAAAAGAAACACCAAAATTATGTATTTATTTAAAAAGAAAAAAGTGTGGTCCATTTTTCTGGTTACAAAAATGAAATGTCATCTCTTTTGGACCGTCATTTATTTTATCCGAAACTAAAAGGCATCAAACAAATCGATGAGCAGCCCGATGAGCAGCTCGATGACACTCTGGTACATTTGCTTGTTTTTATTAACACTGGTTATTAAGATGCTTCTCAATACAGCAGCTTCATCAGAAGGCTTTCACTGCAAGAAAAACTGGGTTGGACCCAAATGCGTTTTAATTATCTGAAGAGAACAGACTCCATATTCAACAGTAATACTCTGGAGTTTGAATACGATGAGCAAAACATCTGAAATTGGTGTTTTTTTGTGAGTAAATGCATGAGAACACCATCTACCATCTATTTGACCAAACTATCTACTGGTACTGTAGTTCTACCTTATTTTCCATTTGTTATCAGTAGTTGGCCATTTTATGACAATTATTGTACAATTAGAACAGAACAAAAACATTATTACCGTACCGTCAGAGAGTATGGCTTTGATTCCACAAGCTGCTCAAACCACATGCAACTATTCTACACACTAACTACAACACGAGCCCGACAGAGGCTCAGTGGAAGCACTTTGCTGTTTGGTTTCGGGTTTTTTAAAAGCCCCTTTCCTGCTGGCATCATGTGGATTTTTGTTTCTTGAATCCCTGCTGAAGTACGTGGCTGAAGTTGGCTTCTGATTGGGAGCTTCTGATTTATGACTTACTGAAGAATGTTCTGTGTATGTGATTGTTATGATTGTCAAACATTACATTTTAGGGAAAAATGTATAAAAACATCCCTTTTTTCACATGAAGGTACCTATTCTTGATTGTTTCTGAGAGCTTAATCACTGTTTTAAATGTGGTTTAATATTTGATCAACATTGATGTTATCTGTGAAAATGAGCCTAATCAGAAGCCATGAATAATACACCAACTCCAGCCAAACTGGTCTCATATAAACGATTCAAAACACTTCAGTCATGTCCTCACCAATAAAAATACAATCATTCACAAACGATCATGAACCAGCAGTAATCTACTGACACACTCAGAGAGATGTCACTCAACTGAAATGTTTCTCCAACCAATGAGAGAGCCAGGATTTCCAGCATTTTCTGATTGAACAATGAGAAAATGATGAGGAGCTTCGGGGCTGATGCACTACAAGAAGGCTGCCTGCGGGGGGCGCTGGTGGACAGCAGAGGAGGAAGAGGAGGAGGAGGAAGTCTCAGGCCTCATGACACCCCAACCAGGAGAGAAGGCAAGCTCACAGAAGCCTCCTGTTTTCTTACCTGAAACACAAAGGATCAGTGTTGAGGTATTTTTGTTATGACTTTTTAGTGTCTGGGAAGAAGAATATTTTATAAAACGTCCCATTAATTATTCATTAGTAACCTTAATTTATTTCAAATTAATAATGTTTAGTATAACTCAAATGTGCATTAGGGTCAGGGTTAGCAAACTAACCCCCCCCCCCCCCATTGTATTACATTTAATACAAGGGTTTTCATCCAAAAGCATCATCATGTTATTGGGACAGTGAACAGAACACAGTAACACCAGGAAGCCATACCTTTACAAGGCCATTGGTGTGAGGAAGAGGAGAAGGTAGGGAAAGAATTGGGGACAGAGGAGAAGGAGGGGGAAAAGGAGAAGGAGGAGGGGTAGAAAGAGGAAGATGAGGGGGAGGAAGAGGCACGGCGAAGGGAGGAAATCCTGAGCTCATTCTTCTGAGGAGACTCAGCAGGAGTCAGAAGGAAGAGAAAGAGCAGGAGGGCGGTGAGAGGGCGTTACAGTGACAGGAGGGATTTTCACTTGAACTTATCCACTTGTGATTATCTCAGTTATTTCCACCTGCTAGAACTAAACGTTTATTACAATGAATTGACATGAGGAAACTCACCTGTAAGTTTGTCTTTGCTTTTCGCAACACGTCATGTGTTCTCGACACTGTAAAATAAACACAAAGAGCAACTGTAAGTCATCACTTGTACATTTGTAAGTCAAACTTTATGATTTCAAATGGGCAGAAACACCCAACACAGGTTTAGTGAATTCCACAGCTGCTCTGGGACTGAAAGATGAAGAAACAAGAACAAAGACGCAAGAGGAAAGAGGAGAGGGCTGGATTAAGATGACCCAAGACACTGAAAAAGACTCAAATGCTGACGAAACATAATTGTTGTATCTTTTAAAAACATTGTTTTGTTGGATTATTGGATCAAGCATTTAAGGATCTGCTGTGAATAAGAGATCTACAGTAACAGCTCTGTACGATTACAAAATTACATTTAAAAATACCATCAAAGTACAATTCCAGGTTTATTCATTTGTTTGATCTATTACAAAGATTAACAATATGCTTTATTGTTTTATATTATCTGCTAGAAAGAGTGAGGACATGAGTGACTCACGTTGGTTGACTATAAAGTGCTCCATGCTATCTTTGGTGAGGTCGGAGCTCTTCACTCTCTCCACGGCGTCCTTGAGAGCCTGCTCCTGATCTGAGAGCTTCAGACGGAGAGAGGCCACCTCCTCCCTCAGAGACTGATCCTGTAAACACACACACACAGGGATAGTGTTACGTGACTGTCCACATATTCTGGTACATCAAATCAAGTCCATATATCTTTTTAGAAAGCTATCTAGTTTATGAACTCGTTTATGAAATTATTTTTTGTTCACTATTCATAAAGAGCCAGTGTTAGTCAACCATTACTATCTTGATTAACCGGGTCATGGTTTTTCTAGATAGACATCGTTTTTGAATTATTCAAAATATATTTCTTTGAGCAGAACAGGCTGAGTGCCATCTGTTTCCATTTCATTCGGGATGGGACAAACATGTCTACGGCTGATATCTATAACACTCGCCAACTCACACCCAAACGATCTACATCTCTTTAAGTCTCCAGTGATTTAGCTTTTAGCTCCTAGAACAACACCCTACTGCATTGCAATATCAGGAAGTGTTTTTCTACAAATAACATGATGAATAAATGAACAACTCTGTGAGTTCACTGGCAGGAGATAAAAGGGATCAAAGAAGTATTTGGAAACTACTCTGCTCTCCACTCTTTTACATCACACTTTTAGATTTTTCACTAGAAGGTGTTTGTTCCGACCTGTTTGGTTTCCTGCTGGTTCGGCAGCGCTGCTCTCCAGAACATCCTCAGCAGAGAGTCGGCCTCATCCAGGATCTGCCGGAGGGTTTTAGTGTCAGACAGCATCTTCCTGACAGAGCCTGAGTCTGAAGGCTGACACACACACACCACAAGATGTTAATAACAAGTCTAGGACTACAGTCATTTCTCAGCCTTTTTTGCTGTATATATCTTTTTAAATGTAGTCTAGAAACACAAAAAATGGTTCAAATGGAAATGTTGTTGTCATGACTTATTGCCATCTCAACCATTGGCCAAACACAAGTCTACAACCTTTTAGAAGCCTCAATAATCATACAATAAAATATATTGTGTATATGAATAAACAAATGAATAAGAATATATTAATCTATAGTTTTTGCCTCCTGTCTCTCTCACCTGAAGTAGGCTGAACTCCTGTGGAGTGCTCTGGGAATAAAGACCCGTCTCCATCTTGCGGAGGAGAGCGCTGCCCTCCAGGATCTGCTGTTGAAGAGCCTTGAAGTCATCAACATGGCCCACTGCATGGCGGCCATGACGGTGTGCGAATGATCCATCGGGGGCTTGGCCCTGCAGGGTTGAGGCTGCAGGGAGGAAAAAACAGAGAATTAGGAATAGGGGCAGGAGGGAGACTTTCATTAGTACAAATAATTGTTGAGAGTTTCTCACCTTGATCAGCTGATCCACTTTCTGCTGAATGTTTCTGCGCAGAACGTAAAGGAGAGGCTGGACTGTCAAGTCCAGTGTCTCTCACAGGAGGAGAGGGAACATTCTCTGTGAAGGAAGATTTCCATCAGTACGGTCGGCTTCTTTATACAGTACACCTTTCTCAGCTGCTGAACTCCAGATTAACTTCACGAGGCCATGTTGTGCGTTATATGTCAACAGTCTACAAAGGCTTAAATCCCAAAGTTCCCATACTGCCTGAAATGCCCCAATTGGACTCCTTTGTTTACTTCCATAACGTAGTGACATCACTATGTAACACTCCTGCTTATTTTTGGCTAGCGTTCCGACACATTGTACGTGATAGGCTAGGGGGCGGGACATTTCTGAGCCTCTGACAAATCACAAAAGAGCCGACCAGCTAACCAATCAGAGCAGACTGGGCTCTGGTTTCAGACAGAGGGTGAAAAGAGGTGCTGCAGAACAGGCAGTATGAGAACAATAAAGAGCTTTTTGAACATTAAAGCATGGAGACATGTCACAGTAGATGCACAAATTACAAATATGAACCTGAAAATGACGATAATATGTCCCCTATAATTCTAGTATTCAGATTTTCTCTTTATCACTTTGAAATACTGGTACTGACCGTTGAAGAGCTGTCTCCTGGATCGAGGCTGTGCGCCCATCTGTATGTGCAGCTGCTGCTCCAGCTGAACGTGCAGCTCGTTGGGGTCAAAGGTTGCAGAGCTGTGTCCAAGTTTGGCATTGTCACTGGCCTGACCTGCTTGGAAAACACAGTAACACAGATGAGTTAAGATTATCTTAGGAAATATTTTTAGATATTCTTAGGTGTCGTACAAAAAAACGTCTTACCTGCGGGTGCGTTGGTGATGACCCCACACACTCTGTGGTACACCTGCAGCTCACTTTGCAGAGAGTGGACCAGACTGCGGCTCTCACACAGCTGCTGCTGGAGGACGCTCACCTCGTGCTGGAGTCTGAGAAAACACACACACAAGAACATTTTATATGAAGAAACAGAACTCTCACAGAAATGTCACTAGAACATCTATATTTTTGAGAATCCTAATAAACATGTCATTACTTAACACCTTCGCCAAGTTGTAAACTGGTCATCAATCTGCACATGGACACACACCTGTTGATGGCTTCCTGGTTCTTCTGTCTGTCCTGTTTCAGTTGTGCAATCTCTTTGCTGCTAGCTTCAGCTTCGGCTTGCAGCTTCTGGCTTTGCTCCGCCCACTGTTCAGCCTCTAGCTCAACCTCCTTCAAACGCTCTGCCTCCTTGCTGCTCTCTGCAGGGGACAAAGGACATTGCAACATGTTACTAAACAGCTTAGTTCAATACTCAATGCTGATTGGTCAATTACATTTCAAACATTCTGCTCTACTCACTAGCAGACCGCTGCTTAGGATAGCAGAACGGGGCTAAGGAGGAAGATTAGATCAGGGGGCTAAGTGCATTCATATCAATCCGTAGAAAGAAGTCCGGTCAATGTAATGTCACACGGGCCAAAAAAAAACCCAAATCATCAGTTTTCTTTTCTCTGTCAGATAACACCCTGGAAATACTTTTATAATATTCATTTTTAGATTTGTGGAGAGTACGAAACTTTGGATTAATGAGGATTTTAAGATACGTTGCTACCAGCACAGTTCCAACCGTTAGTAGGCCTACACAGCGGATCAGACAATTATTTTCTTAGCGGTAGCAATACGATAATTTTTAAATCAATAAAATCCTTTTTAAATCAATATTGTGAGTAAAGTTAGTGGTGCTATGAGCTGGATAATGACCGCCCTGTCATCTTTTTCATTAATGACCGCCTCGCTGAACATTATCACTAACGTATCATACTGAACAGAGCCAAAACGTACTTGTTCTAATAACTTCTGTCTGGTTGCAGGCACAACAGCTCTTGATCTGCTAAATAAAACTTGGTGGCTTTCTACGTTTTTGGGCTGGCTAGTATAGATGTGACAGTACCTCTGGTGGCCTGCTTCAGCTGGTTCTGCAGACTGACGTTCTCCTCCTTCAGAAGTCTCATCTCACTGGAGAGCTGGCCGACAGAGTCCATGCCCTGGATGTAGATGTTGGTAGGAGCAGCTGGAGGGGACACAGAGAGGATAAGCATGGACTGTAATGTTTACAGAGGAGAAATAAGGAGCAGGAAATGGAAATGCTCAAGGAAAGTACATAAAAACTGTACTTAAGTAGGCTACAATAAACCTACTTTAGTACATTTCCTCAGTAACTTTCACCACATGGTAACATGCTAACAAACTACAGTTTTTTTTATAATAGATGTGTATTACATCTCTATACTGAAAGTATTTCCAGGCTGTCCTTATTATCCTGTCCTTCCAGATTACATATCATTTGTATGCCTTCTAACAAATCAACAGATTTTTTAAGAGAATAACTACGTGTGTTACCTTTCTCCGTGTTGGTGCGGGCCAGCCGCTCCTCCAGCTGCAGTCGGAGGCGGTCGTTGGTCTGGATGGAGTCCTCCAGTCTCTGCCTCAGACTCCGGATCTCTCTCAGGTGCTCCTTCATCATCAGGTCTGATCCTACAACACAAACAAAAGTATAACTTAGGGATCACTGCTTTAGTCAAAGTGCACTTCTGGACATACTTAACTGGCCTTCAAACATGGACAAAGCTAATAAACACAAGTACTATATGACCCGTTACTGTGAAGTATGCAAGAAGTGTTGGATTTTATTGATGGTATCACAAGAAGCAATTGTACTTTATTATTTAAATAAATCTTTAATTATGTTAAAAAGAAAAGCAGGGTTCTGGGACTAATGTGACTATTGTAACACAATGAGCCACTATTCCAATATAATTTTTAACTTAATAATTGTAATCTAACACAGTAAACATGTTTTCTTGTCAAATGTTTATTACTATTTTTTTATATATAGTATGGTGCAACACAAAGAACACATGTTAGTTATTAGAGTTTTCAACTAGTTCAATGTGAGTCATTTTGAAAAGGTTAAACTGAGTATCTACCTGTGTTGCTGGTGCCTGACTGGTACCCTGATGATCCTGAAGAAAGGTCAGCTCCGAGTCTCACCGGACGGGCACCATAGCTCATATCCCACAATGCAGTGCTCTCGAGCAGACTGGCTCCAGCTTGCATTGCTGAGTTGGCATCCAGACTGCTGCTGAAAGGAGAGGGCTGGTATCCGTGGAAGGAGTGCGGCAGGAAGGGGTCCGGCTGCTGGTGGGCGAATGGGAAGCCATGAAGAGGTTTGGAAGTGGGAGTGGAAAACCCTGAAGAAGAGGAAAAGGAACATGAAGTGAATAAGCAAATCTAAATCTCACATACGATCTAAAATCAGTTATTAAAGAAAAGGAACACTGCAAAAAAACCTGGGAGGGGAACAGAGACACTTGTTAGTAAAGAGAAAGGGCTGGCGAGACACAAAGAGAGCAAAAGGCTGAAAGGGAAATTATTTATTTTGTCACAGTAAAATGAAATCGCTATGGTTTGGTGTCTCTAGTCTAAAGGCTCTATAAAATCCTAGCAAATCCTTTTCAGGCTAAATGTTTGTATATACAGTAGGAACCCATATTGTTAGGAGAAAGACGGTACAGTGTCTTAAAGATATATGCAAAGAAGAAAGGCAAAGAAAAGAAAACGTGTATCTGGATGCAGGTATATAGTGATAGTTTGCTCGTTTATACTTTCTGGATGTTGAAACATGTTTGTATTGAGCAGGATCACATGTAACAATAATGAGGTGTTGTTCTACTCCATTATTCGAGGAAAGAACATGAATCCTCCCTTCCATACACTGTTGATCAGTCTCAATTTAATTAAATAAAGCTACTGTGTAAATAACTTCTAACTGTGGCGCCTTCCAGTGGTCCTATCTCAAAATGACAGCACAATCTCAGACCCATTCCTTCAAATACAGGCCCATTAGTTGACAATCATATAAAGTTACAACACAATATACAGGAATGATAGGCTATAACTTAAAGTTAGCTACACAGGATCCTGTTTCCATTAAGTTTCTTTTTTTACTGGCATTTTCTCTTTTCTTCTGTCTGTTAAAATGGTGTTAAAACTCTCTGAAAGTTACATTTTTAAAGTGGAAGAGCTATGGAACACATTCGATTTAGTATGTTAGCTTGATAATCTTCATCTTTACAATAAGTGCAGAATAAATGTTAATACTATTCCCCAAACGTGTTTTTTTTTTTACCAGTAATTGTTTGAATTTGTGCCATTTCAATTATCTGTCTGGTTACTGAACCACAATTAGTTTATACTAAATGTGTTAATGCACTCAATACATAAACTCATGCATATACAGTCTGAGTGACGCACTGTCATTGCCTCCAAGCTGCATTTGTAACATCTGCAGCTCCTGATGCACCTCAGCCAGGGAGAAACCAACCCCGCGGGTACGCGGGGTTGCGGGGTGGGCATGGAAGGGCAAAGGTGCCCTCTGGGTGGTGGAGGAGGAGGGGGGAGGGTGGGAGAGGATAGAGGTGAAGACTGAAGCTGGAACTGGGAGTAGAAGAAGAATTTAAAAGAATGGAAGAAACAGGTGAGGGAAGTAGAAAGCAGAAGAGTAAAGGTGTGATAATGCAGCAGAACACTCATTAGACCCTTCCTACCTGTCTGACTCAGCATATCTGCAGGTTTGTGTGGCGAGCTGGGGCAATGCATGCTGGGACAGCTGAGGAAGGACGGGGCTCTGTGGGATGAGGTGACGGATGGTGGGACGGACGAATGGTGTGACATGGCGCCACTGTGAGAGTGGCAATCTGGAAATTAAAAGAGTCTGCTGTCACCAGAGAACATGATGGATGGAACAGAAAACAAGTGTGTGTGTGTGTGTGTGTGTGTGTGTGTGTGTGTGTGTGTGTGTGTGTGTGTGTGTGTGTGTGTGTGTGTGTGTGTGTGTGTGTGTGTGTGTGTGTTTCCCCTTAAATCATCACATTTGATCTGGACATTTCTGTTATGTGTTATGAATAAGGAGGAGTGCAGAGGTCATGTGACAATTGTCAACAGCTGGGTTCAGATGTATGAGGAATGTAAAATCTATATATCTTTTATTGTTAATAAATCCAAGGTGTTTTAAGGACAAGGCAGCCTTTGTATTGGATACATGAAAACAATAAATGTATAAACTACGGACTTACTGTAAGCCTAGATGGATCCAAAGTAGGCCAGTATTAACTTAAAGTATAATTAATTATTGTTTTCCTAATAATACAATAATTTCATAAAACATGACCACAACAACATGTATTATTATTATGATATCATTATAATTTAAATATATATTGTTGTATTATTAGAAATAGTAGAAGTAGTATTAGTAGAAGTAGTAGTAGTGGCTTGCATTTATTTACTGTATGGAATTAATATTATAAATGATTGTTGTCTATTGTGTCTTGCATCATTGAAAATAAAATAGCAACCAGCATAACAAACAGTGAGTGTATTTCAAAATAGGTATTTTGTGTGTTTTTTTAGATTTAAGTCTTCAGTAGTAACTAATGAACTTGGATCTGAGAAACAGAGAGGAAGTCAGAAAGTATTGAGAGACAGACTAAACAGGTCTGGTTCTGTTTCTGGTATTTGTTGACAATTTCTTAATTAATTGTATCAATTTTCTCTCCACTTGTAGATATACAATTTGGGTTCTACATGTTTTCGGCAGAAGTATACAAATATACGTTAAGCTGGATCATGGTTGTAATGTTATTACCTGTGCTGACTCTGGTACCAGTCCGTGTTTCCTTCTGACCAAGCTCGCTGGCAGCGTCCATATCCGAGCAGAGGTCCAGGTCCTCGTGTGTGGATCCATGTTCGTCAGACACATAGGAGATGCGATCTGATTGGTCGGTGGTGTCGGAGAGGGCGTGGTTGCTGTTTGGTGTGTCGGAGCGATGGGGCTGATGATGGTGCTGGTGCTGGTTTAGTTTGGTGCGGAGAGACTCAATGACCTTATCCTTCTGCTGCAACTCCTTACTAAGCCTGAACACACAAATAAACACATACATTATTAATATGTGTTTCAGTTATCATTAAGGTCAATCCATTTACTTTATTCCAGACCGCAAGTGCTTATACATTTAGTGCAACCCATACATGTATATATGGAAGCCCTGAGAGGCTGGAAAAACATTTTTTTTTTAAAGATTCTGGTTATCTATTTTCAAAGTCTGAATTTAATAGTATCTATAATAATAATAATAATAATAATAATAATAATAATAATAATAATAATAATAAATAATCTTTCTGAATTCTTATAAAAATATATATTTGTTCCCTCTGTAAAAGGGACGCAGGAAAACCACAAAGTTATCTTTTTATAAATCTGTGAAACAGGTAGGAAAAAATATGTATCAGTTATCTTTGTATGCTTGTTTTCCAATACTTATTATGGCTACAAGAGACTAAGGCCCCGGCTCCACGAGGACGAAAACGGGTTGAATCCGCATATTTCTCATGCGTATAGCCCTCTAAGCTCGACGACGCCGTAAGGGAAACGTAGAAACAGACCCCGCAAACGACAACGGGTCCAAAGGTGGATAGATCTGGGAACGGAGCGCTCTGGGGGGTCCAACGGGGCCGTGGAGTCGCCTATACGGTCATTCGTTTTCATAGCCCCGCCTCTCCCCGCCTCTCCCCCGCAGGGTTGCTATCGTGCTCCAGTTGCTACTGACCATGCTACAGTTCTTTGTGCAACATCTACAGGAGCTCCTCCTTGAATTCAGATTATTTATCTTTATCTCGATATGGACATAAACACGAGTGAAGTCTAATCTGACAGGACGGAGACACACAGCTCCTGCCGCTGTGATGCAGCGGGAGCAAAACACACAGTTCAAGTCAGATCATCACCCTTAGCTATTTTAATTACCTCTCAAACTACCTAAACTAGTTATAAATATGTTCATTTTTACTGTCAGGTCACTCATTACAGGATCAGCTGCTGCATGAGACAGACACTGACGCTGTCAGAAGAGAGGAAAAAGAGACAGGCTCCGTGTATTTGATGATTATATACCATTATATAGAGTCGTTATTCATTTGTTTTAAAGCTCAATAAATAACAATGAAGACCTTTGACCGGCACTTTTATAATTTTGTCCGGAAGATTTAAACTTTAACACACGCTGACCGGCGAAAAACTCTGCCCGGTTCTGTCGGCCCCCACCGCGGAGAATACACAGAAGTGCAGCCATGACAACCATTCTTCTTCGCTGCTTTTGTGGAGGAAGTTGCTGCTTTTGTGGAGGAAGTTACAGCGCCACGTACAGGTTCGGCATATGTACTGCAGCTTTTCCAGCGTTTGGATGTAAACGGAGCTGTCTCGTGGAGCTTGACACAATCCGGTGTATATTGCGTGGGGACGGAAGGTTTTTTGCGGTTGCATTTGCGTTACTCCAATGCGTTTTGCCGTATTTGTCCTCGTGGAGCCGGGGCCTAAAGAACACCGCTACCCCACATTCAAATAAGGATTAAAATAATATTCAATCCTGCAAAAACTATTTTTTTACCTGCCAAACCTTTTTTTCACCTGTTTCCACTGATGAAAAATAAATTACTTCAAAAAATGATCCTGGTAAACCTTTTTTTACCTGTTATTAAGAGGTCATAAACATGGGGAAGTAAACAATTTAGATCAGATATAAAACATTAACAGATTTTCTTTTCTCTAATTTGTATCTGCAGGGCTTCCGTATTAACGTCCCCAAACCAGTTCATTTAAGGTTTCCCTTCCTTGACCATCAGGATAAATCCGGGTGAGGAAAGTGACAGAGCAGCTTTGACCCCTTCCTCATTAACACCACTGAGTTGCCTTTGAGCAAAGCCCTTAATACCCATCTGCTCTATAGGAGATGTTCGGAGGAAAAGACTTAGGATGTAAGCTTCCAGGAGTTAATGAGTGCGACTGTTTGAGTTTGATCAGAGCTTTCTTGTCAAATTATGCTTGGCCCTTTATGATACCTAAAACAACTTCATGCTGCAGAAACTCATTTTATGCACACTTCAAATACTAATACATAACTGCCATCTGTTTAAGATGATGGTTTAATGCAAGGGTGCATTGATCAGCAAAGATTAAATAGATTGAATATCATCTGATTTTATTGTACAATAAATAAATAAAGAAGATAAAGTGATTGATACAACAATATTTAAAGGTTATATATTAAGCAAAATCCACTTTTTTGTGTATTTGATACATAAACATGTGTCACCTTTGTGTAAAGAGATTCTGAAAGTTTCATGTCACAATGTTTTTTGGCTTGTGTAACCATTAGCCAATCACCAACCAAGGTAACCCCCGCCCGTCTTATCACCTGAATCTCCTCCTAGAGCACCAATTGTGTTTCTTCAAACCAAACATCTCACACTGGGTCGTGGGGAGTGGCAGTTCATTTGCATTTAGAGCTACAGATACAGAATCAGCACTTTTCTGAATCAGGGGGTATGGTAGGGGTGGGGGAAATAATCAATACAGCATCGCGATACCTTGCGTGGCGATATTGTATCGATACACGGACGCCAAGTATCGATATTTTATTATATAAACAATTCATATTGCAAATCCAAATTAGCTTGGCAAAGCTACCATCAAATTCTGAGCTAAGAAAAGAACTCAATCGATCACCTACTGTACTTCATGTGCAAAGACCTGCTTCAATACACAAAGTGGAAAACTAAGGCTTTTGTCACATGTTAAAGACACTGGAACCCAATATATCATGCAATCATATACTGTATATCAATATATATGCGCAATATATCGTATCGCAATACTTAGCATATCGTAGAATCGCAATATTATCATGGCTTAAGTATCGCGATAGTATAGTATCGGGGGGAGCCTGGTGATTCCCACCCCTAGTATATGGCATGCTACAATGATCTGCTTGGTATTTCGAGCCAAACACTTCAGAGACATGTTTTGTATATATCTGAGACCTATAATATATTGTTGAAAAAGGGTATAATAGGGGACCTTTAAACGTGTTTGAATGTGATTAATTCATTGAATGTCATGAATGAGTGTTTCAGTATAACAATTTATTATTTATGTATGCCATGGAAACAGCTGGTGTAGGAACAATGATTCATCAAATATGAGTTAACTTGCTCCTTCACTGTTCTTCCGGATCATATTGTGTTGCATACTTAATCACCATGCTTGGACACATAAAATCCAATAGTGAATCAATGTAAAACTATATAACTGTACCTGGTGTGTGAGTCACATGCCTGCTGAGCTGTACTGTCCCATTGAGGCTTTGCTGGGTGCATTGTGCAACTTTAGGGAAGCCTATTAACCACTTGCCCATACATTACAGAGCATCTCATTACATAAGGGGGGAATTGCAGCCTCATCCTCTTACGAGAATAAGACATTTATACTGACGTAATATGTACAAATGAAGGATGCGGAAGTACAGAGGGAGGTTGAGGGACAACACCCTCATAAATAATGTTGCAGTGTGTCCCCTACAGCTGATTTAATTAACAGTGACGCAATGGTACACAGATGCTGAGGTGAAGGTCGTTCATCTAAAAATCAATGACAGGCTGACACATATCCACATAGGCCCTCTATATGTTCACGTTGCATCCACAGCTATTTCTCTGTCTGTGCTGTTTCTTGTGTCTTCTTAAAAAATCAGTTGTGGCTCAAAATGCAGCAATAAGAATTAAAAAATGTTTTGCTTTCTTACCAGGAGCTAAATATGAATAATATGAACAAATCTGGCCAGGCTCTGCCCAAAGTAAAAAAAACATAGTTGACCTCCAATGCTCACTTATCAACACATTATGCCTCATGTTTGCTCGACTATCTAGCATTGACAAATAATTATCATTTTGCACACCAGGCATGACAGAGGTATTAGTTTCAGGTGGTTACTCTGTTGCTGGTTGGTAGTAGCAGTTAAACTGACATTGTTACAGCCACCATTTTGTTGCATACGACAAAGCAAACATTACCTAGCATCTATTTAATATCCTTGTTGAAACATAATCTTTAGGTACTTTCATGACAGATGTTAAGTACTTTTTTTCTACTAACCAAACAAGCTAGCCATTAGCCTACGATAGCTGTTTAACGCTATCAACACTAGGCAACTTCTGGGCTATGAACCAATCTATATTTTTTAAATCCTGTTTTCTTAGCTACTAATTAATGTTACGAAACATTGAACTACTGACTAGAATTTGTTAAAAATGTTCTCTTAACCCTCCTATTGTCTTCGTTTTCCCCCCCTTACTTTGGTGTTCGCGGTCAAATTTGACCGGTCCGGTTTTAACTGCTATTACATTAACACAAAAACCATTAATCATCACCAGATTTCATTTAACACCCTTTCAAACTGTAAATATTGTATCAGACTACTTGTATACAGGAAAAACTGCAGTAAATATACAAAGAATAGACACTGAACATGTATTGCGTGTGCCAGGTGTGATCCATGTGGGGGGATGAGCACATAAGAGCGGGAAATGTATCAAATTGTTCTGTGTGTGTGTGTGTTTGTGTGTGCCAGGTGTGATTCACATGGGGGGATGGGCACATAAGGGGGGGGGACACATCTAGTGTGTGTTTGTGTGTGTGTGTGTTTTATCTGATCTGGATGGTTACTAATTCCTTTTCTTTATGGCGGTCATTTTTGACCGGGAACACCATGGGTGTTACAAAGTTGACTAAATCATCCAAAATGCAATGAAAGTGGTGATCAGCTATTTTATATGTTCAAATGTCTACTGTGAAGGATATCATAAAGCCTGAATGCAATCGAATGTAAAACAAAAAAGTTATGATTGATGAAAGTAGTAAATCGGTCAGATTTGACCCGAACACAACAGGAGGGTTAAATCACTGTCGTTTGAGTTGTTAATCAATATTGTTTACACAGTTGTCTCAAGGAAATATAGGCAGTTTGTTTTACATTTTTCAAACTGCTTGGCAGATAAAATATGGTAGTCATAATAAGGTA